CCACCCGCAGCAGCAGCAGCAAAGAGGCTTCCCCTGCAGCCTCCTGAGACGCGCCCCCTCCCCCCCCCATCATGACAGGAGGGAGAAACGAAGGCTGCTCCACTTTTACTCCCTGCAGTTTTTATGGTTTATGATCGGAAGCTGCCCAGAGTTACATTGAGGGAAGAGGGGCATCCTACAAGTTTTACAAATAAAATAAAGAAACCGTCTTCCGAGGCCAGGAAACGTCGGAGCCTCCTGCGCTTCCCAGTGTCCGAGGCTCCGAGGGCCTCCTCCTCCTCCTAGCCCCCGAGGGGGAGCCCTGAGGCCATCCGGTCCAGCCTCCTGCATCCCACCGTGGTCCCAGGGACCCTCGGACAGAGCCCCTCCGCGGCCGGCTGCAGGGGGGAAAGGCCTGGGACGGGAGGGGCAATCCAGGGCGGGGCTCCCGGGTGACCCTCCCCGCCCCCCACCTGGCTGCTCACCTGCTTCATTGCCGTCTCCCCGATCTTGTCCGAGTGCTTGTGGATGCTCTCCAGGAAGTCCTTGAGGTCGGAGATGGAGACGTCCTTGATCTCCTGGCGCAATTTCGGGATGTTCTCCACCATGATCTTGCAGAAGCCGTAGTGGCTGAGCTGGGGCAGGCACATCCGCTCCAGGTGCTCCAGGGTCTTCAGGGCGGGGTAATGCCTGGGAGGGAGGACCGGCCTGGCTCAGAGGCCGGTCAGGGGACGCGCTTCCCCCACCAGCCCTCAGGGGACCCCCGGGGCTCTGCCACACCAAGACACAACACACACACACACACACAGACCCCGAACGAAATCCCTCTGCGAGGGGGGGGGAGTGGATTTAACCAGCCCCATTTCTCTCTCTCCACTGGTAGGACGACCACAAACCACCTCCAGGGAGTCCTTGACTTACGACCACAATTGAGCCCGACTCTCCTGGTGTTAAGTGAGCTTTGCCCTATTTTACGACCTTTCTTGCCACAGTTGTTAAGTCGTTAAATTAGTAACATGGTTGTAAAATGCAGCTGGCTTCCCCAGGTCACCCACTGAAACCCAGGCCGGTGGGGGCTGTGAAGCCCAGGGAGCCCCGAATGCAGAGGAGGGAGACTTCTGGGCCGCTTCACGGGGCTCTGCAGCCCTTTCTAAGGCGTTTCGCAGAGTCAGCCTCTTTCCCCCCAAACCATCCGGGTCCTCATTTCACCGACCTCGGAAGGACGGAAGGCTGGGACAACCTTGAGCCAGTCAGGATCGAACTGCAGGAAGTGGGTGGAGTGAGCCCTGCGGTGCCTCATTGTAGCCCCTGCGCCATGGTTAATGGAGCCCGGCCTCCGGAACCTTCCTCGGAGCCCCGGCTGAGACCCAGAGCCGCCCAGGAAGACCTACCGTTTGGACTTCATCTGCTCCCTCAACTTGCTCTCCATCTCCAGAACTGGCAGAAGGGGGGGAAGCAGAGAGAGAGGTCAGGAAGAGCCAGGCGTCACCAGGCGCCCCCCCCCCCCCCCCCCCCCCTCTCTCTCTCTCTCTCTCTCTCTCTCTCTCTCTCTCTCCTCTGCAGGGCTCTCACCGGGAAGGCACTGGCTGAGCTTGTCCACCGTGGCAGAGATGTTCCTCTGCTGCAGCCGGCACTGCCTCAGCTCCTCCATGGCGCCCACCAGCTGCAAGAGAGAGCAGGGGGGCTTCAGCCTCACCAGCAGCCTCGCCCTCAACCCTGGTGGCCTTGGACATGGCCGCTGCAGACACACACACACGCACACACTGCCTGGGTAGAGCAGGGTGAGCACCGGGGTTGCCAACCCTGGACAAATGAATCGATTACTTGCAACCCTGACCCTCGGCTCCCCTTCCCCAGGTCTGCAGAGGGGCTGGCTGGCAGGCCAAAGGGACCCGGAGCTCGGCTGCTAAGGGCCAGGCCCTGGGGGTCACTTGGGTGCCTGGAGGGAAAACATTCAAGGGGGCGGGAGTGAGCTAAGGACAGACTGGGTGGCTCTGACCCATCCACTCCTTGGAGCATTTCGAGCCCCCTCCAGCCCTCTGGGGCTGAGCTCCACGCCCTCTGCTCTCCTCTGTTCCCGCAGCTGACTTACTGACAGCCCCCCATTCAGCGACTGCTCGAAACTAAGAGACGTGATGGCCCATGGCCAAAATTGCTGTCGTGGCAGTGCCTCCACCCTCAGGTGGTCAAGCTTCAGGGGCCCCCGCACTTAGGACTCCTCTCTCCCCTCGGCCTGCCCTCTAGGGCCCTCAGCAGTGGCAGGGCTGGGGGCCCGGGGCCCTTGACAGTACCCCAGGCCTTCAGGTAGCCCTGATGCCACTCTTGCCACTGAGAAATACCGCCTCAAGCCCCCACTAATGACCCCAGTGCCCTGGGTGCCACTGAGCCACACACACCCCCATATGGTCCTGGTCCTTCCGCCTGTGAGGCACCGCTGGCTGCTCCGGGCCTTCTTCCCAACCCCCTTTGCCCCAGCCACCAAGGGCCTCGTTCTCACCAGCCGCCCCCCCGAGGCCTCCCCAAGTGCTGTGAGACGGACACCACGGAGGGCGCCTGATGTCAGGGGCTTCCCAAAGCAGCACAAGGACGGGACATGCCACGTGGGGAAGGAACGGCACCAGCAGCCTCCGGAGCAGGCCTGCCTGGCCAACTGCGGGAAGAAGA